AAAAAAAAAAAAAAAAAAACAAATAGGAGAGATTTTTTTTGTGTGGATATCACACTAAAACTAGTTCTCTTTAATTTGAAAAAAAAAACAAAAAGCAAAGTTAAAAATCAAAATTATTGTTATACCCATTACAATTATATCACATACAAGCATATAATTATTATATCTAATTATTTTCAGAACAATTTATATATTTTATAAATATACTTATTTTTTGAGCATGTCATTAACACTATATATAGGATAGTTATAAGTGTGTTATTCTCTATTTGTTGCTTTTATTCATAAAAAATACTTATTTTTTATTTTACAAAATAATTAGTGAATCTTATTTTCTCTATTCATTTTTTTTCTTTTCACTTTCTTTGTTTTATTTTATTTTTTGATGCAACCATCACATGTGATGGTGAGTTAAGTGAATCTCAAATGCAAATCTTCACACTATTGATGGTAAAATCAGTTAACCGAAAAGCATGATATCCTTACTGGTACAGTGGTACGTCAAAGTTGATTGGTAAGATAAAAACAAAAACTTAAAATAACAAAACAAAGTCATTACTAGACCTATTATTAATTCGGAACCAAAACACGGTCCGAAATTTTAAAATGTTAATATTTTATAATAAATTTATTATTAAATAATTATTTAATTTAATATTTTATAATTTAAGTTAATTTTTTAAACTTTCGAAATATATTTCGGAATGAAGAATTTTTCATTATTTTTATTACCCCCATGGCTACAGGAAACCATGTCAAAGTCTTGGTCTCAACCACGCCTACCTCGACTCTAGCAATCCCTATCCTTTTTTAAAATATTTCAGGGATTTTTAATTTATATCTATAAAGGTTTAAACAACATTAATTATTATATTATTTATTAATTTTATGTTAAATGTAAATTTTTTTAAAATTTATTGTTAGATTACAAATTTTTAACCCTTAAATCATATATAAATTTTTATATTAGTTTAAAATGATTTTATATTTTATTTTTATAAAATAAAATTGATATAATATACTTATTTTAAAATATATTAAAATATGAATATTTTGATTATTTTAAATTATTGTTCATTTTTAAAAAAATTGACATAAGTATGTAAAGTGATAGAAATTATAATTCAATAGTTAAATCGGTGAAATTCACATTTAATATAAAATTATTAAGTATTGTAATAGTTGATAAAAGTTACTCTAAAACATAGTAAACTTATTTCATCTAATAACTCATGTTTTATGTCAAATTTTAATAATTTAATCATTAAATTAAGAATTCTTAACGTATTGATTAAGTTTATAAATTTTTTTTAAAATTTGAAAATAAAATGATATTTCATTATATAAATTTAAATCAACAAATAAAATATTTTTATAAGTATTCATCAATTTAAATTAATAAAATGAAATATCAAATAATTTTTTAAATTTTTAAAAAATTTAGACCCATTCTAATACATAATTCCTCTTATTCAAAATATAAACAATAAAAATTTTATATTTGTTAATCTTAAATATAAAGAAATTTCAAATAATATTTTTCTATATAATGTTATCATCCTCAAAATATCCTTTAATTTAATTAAAATTGTATTTCCATTCTCTCTTTTCTATTTTTGATATCAAATTTTAAGAAGGTTAGTTTAAGAAAATACTTTTTTTAGATGAAGTTAGTAAAATTAAATATTATAAATAATCTTTCTTAATTAACGTGAATTGTTTTTTTTATTACTTATATAAGTGAAATTAATTTAATTTATATTTTTTAAAATTTTGAAAAATATATTATTAAAAGTCTCATTAATGTAGGAGTAATTTTTGGAAAAATAAAAGCTTAAGAAATATTTATTGATTTAATAAAAAAAAAAAAAACTAACTTCAAGATAGTATTCCTACAAATCTAAAGCGACTAAATTATAAGATTTTTATATATAGATTAAAGAAAATAATATAACTATATTATTCTTTATATAATTTTACCATAATAATCTAATCTCTTAATAAATATATTATTATGATAATTGAATAATTTATGAGAGAATAAATTAATATTATATTAAAAATGAAAATATTATTCATTTAAAAGTATTGAAACGAGGGGGTTTGCAAGAGGGAGATAGCAGGAAAATCACGTGTTCCAATGACTTTTCAGCATCGCTTACTTTTAAAACACCATGAAACTCACGTGGCCTGCCTAATTTTATTTTCTTCAAGTTCCACCCATACGTTTTGTCGTAAAAGTTGCGTCAATAGCTTCCTTCTACGAGACTTGTCTTATCTTATTCTCGCTCTCACTCCAGGAAGATCAAATTTTAAAATTTTAATCAATTTATGCACATTATAAAAAATATACTAAAATAAAATATATATGTCAAGACGTGAAGTAGTAGTTTTTAACTTGTATCCATAAAACTTTACTATTTAATTAATTTCATTTAATATTTCAAATTGTATTAAAAAGAAAGTATATAAGACCGGTATTGTGCAGTACAAAAACATGACAAAATTGTACGTCATCAATATACAATTGTGTTAAATTTTTATAGAGAAAGTTTTACTCTTATATCGATTATCTAACTTAAAAAAAAATATTTTCATTGGAAGATACTTAAAGTATATAGAACAAAAATAACAAATTTGTACGAATATAACAAAGTGATAGTAATTTTATTGGTTAATCAACAAATTGGAAAACTTAAAATATCGAAAGCGTTACGGAAATCAAGCCACATATATAACTAATAACTAATGCTACTTTTGGTATTTAATTATAAGTAATAAATTAAATTCTTTTAGTCTTAATTTTAAGTCACAATCATTAATTTTTAAAGTTATTTAGGATTATATATTATTTTGTACCCTTCATTTATTGTTAACTCTATTCTCTCTATATATATTTTTAATTTTAATGATTTGTCTTATATTACTTGTAATTAGGACAAAATGTAGTATCATGGGGTAGTTTTGTTAGAATCTGTAGCATTTTTCTTTTAACATTTTTTTTTAGTTTTTGATTAATTTCTAAATTCGTGGACTCACGGTGGAAAAATCCGTCTAATAAATGCTGAATAGAGTGAAGCTTTCTTTTGTGAAAAAACAAAGTGATTATGTTTGTTACGTAAATGACAAAGTTATTTATGTGGCCCATATAAAGTTGACAGCGAAAGTAGTTGAATGATAACATATCTAACGTTTTATTATTCACCAAGGAATTAACGGATCCGGTATAAATATAATGTATATGCAACAACTTCATCAATCCAATATCAAACCTTTCAGATTTGCTCATTGCCAAGAATTCAACATTTTCCATCAATCTCTATATCTGTCCTTGTTCAAATGTCAGAAAAACTTTCCCACATTTCATCCTTGAATGAGCCTTTACTACCAGGGAGGGAGCAGCATGTGCTAGGGCATGTCATAGATGACGAAAAAGTCACAGCCTCTTTTCCTTCTACTGATAATACTGTATCATTTTTTCGCACCTGTCTTAATGGACTCAATACATTATCAGGTTTATTAATTTATGTAACACATGCATCTCTTCCTTTACTTATTCAAATAGAATTCTATGTTTAATCCTTACTTTAAAGAAATAATTCTATTTTGCTACCTAATAATAAAATATGCTAATGTTTAGCTTGTGGCTTTGGTTTAACTTTAAGGTGTTGGGATACTCTCTGTTCCATATGCTCTTGCAGCTGGAGGGTGGTTAAGCTTGACTCTTTTGCTTGCTATTGCTGCTGCAGCATGTTACACAGGCATGTTAATTCAAAGATGCTTGGATATGAATTCGAATATTAGAAGCTACCCTGATATAGGTGAGGTTGCATTTGGAAAGATAGGAAGGTTAGTAGTTTCAGTGTCCATGTACACTGAGCTATACTTAGTTTCAACAGGGTTCTTGATTCTAGAAGGTGATAACTTGAGTAATTTATTCCCAATTGAGGAGGTTCAGATAGGTGGCTTGGCAATTAGTGGGAAGCAATTCTTTGTGATATTGGTTGCACTTATCGTCTTGCCAACAGTTTGGTTGGATAACTTGAGCCTACTTTCTTATGTTTCTGCAAGTGGAGTTTTTGCTTCTGCTATCATTATTCTCTCAATATTATGGACTGCAACATTTGATGGAGTTGGTTTTCATCAAAAGGGGACTCTTTTTAATTGGAATGGAATCCCCACAGCTGTTAGCTTGTATGCCTTTTGTTACTGTGCACATCCAGTCTTCCCCACTTTGTACAATTCCATGACAAACAAACACCACTTCTCTAATGTAAGAGCTTTGAAATATTTTATGTATTATTTTGGATTGAATTTAATTAACTCGTCTAAAATAACAAAGTGCAGACACTAATTACCTTTGGTTTGAATTAAAGTGGTAAGTTAGTAAGAGTGGATGTACCTTATCTTTAATTTGTATCTTGTGAAAAATAAAATTCATAATTAAGTCTTAAGAGTGGATGTAAGTACCCTGATATAGGTTCCCTTATTGATACTTGAGAAACTAAATCCATGGCTTTCTTTGTCTCTAATAATTTCTTGTTTTAACATTGCAGGTCCTATTTGTATGCTTTGCGTTGAGCACAATGGGTTATGCATCGATGGCTATAATTGGTTACCTAATGTTTGGCCCACAAGTTGAATCACAAGTAACATTAAACCTGCCACTAGACAAAGTAAGTTCAAATTTAGCAATATACACTACTTTGATCAATCCCATATCCAAGTATGGTTTGATGGCAACACCGATTACGAATGCTTTGAAAGACTTCCTTCCAAGAACGTACAGGAATAGAATGAGCAACATTTTAGTGAGCACTGCGTTGGTAATAAGCACTACCATTGTTGCCCTCACTGTTCCTTTCTTTGGGTATCTCATGTCCCTGGTTGGAGCGTTTCTAAGTGTCACAGCTTCTATTCTGCTTCCATGCTTGTGTTACTTGAAGATTTCAGGCACTTACAGGAAATTTGGGAGTGAAACGGTGGCCATAGTAGCAATAATAATAGCAGGTATAGCAATGGGAATATCCGGGACTTACACATCTGTCAGGGACATAGTGCAACATTTGTAATGGACAATGTGGTGCCTATTCTATTTACTAAGCGTTTTCGTAAGAAGAACAATCACTCTTATGACTTATCATTAGAGGTGGCTGCCTAAGTCAAATTGAAAAGATTGATTTGAATTTAAAAAATAGAAATTTCATAATCTGGTTTCAAATTTCAATTTCAAATTTTGATTTTTAAGAATCAAGCCAAACGATCTATTATTATTATATTATTACTATTATTAAATAATCTCTGCATAGTACGGAAATAATCTCTGCATGGTAGGGATAGTTGGGTAAGGACTAAGGACGAATGAACATGTTGTCTAAGTCACTTTCTTTTTATTAATTAACGTTTTATATGTACGTTAAATTACTTTTTAATTTTGTTTTTTTATGCCAAAATAAATATATGTCTTATTTATTTTCTATTATTTTTAGTAAGAAATATAGAAACAATAACTTAGTTTTTTTTTTAAAATTGATTATCATTAATTTTTCTTTTTAATAGTCTTTTCATTTTATATTTAGTTATTGCTATTTTAAAAGTTACACATAATTGTATTTGAAATTAAATGACTTTATTATTATTGATTTGATAAATAAAAGATATTTATTAATATTTATGAATGATACAAACTTACAAATTTTATATATAAAAAATTGACAACTTAAACAAATATAATAATAATTTAAAACAATTTTTTGACTTTCAAATATTTCAAACTTGTCAATCGAAATGGTTGAACTTGGATATTCCCTTTAATCTCTTAAATAACTTAAATAAATATAATTGTTAACAACTCAAAAACATATTTAGTGTTAATGTTTTTAGTGTTAATATTAAGTTTGTATTAATTCAATTAACATATTATTGAAATACTTGAAATCAAAGACACAATATAGGGAGTTTTGTTTGATGTCATTTTTTTATTATTATTATCGGGAATATTTTGATAGGAATATTTATTCCCACATTTGTTAGAAAGTTTTGCAAATTAATTTTTTGGTGTCTTTTATTTCCAGGAATATACATTCCCATTTTTAAAGCAGTTTTTATTCCCATGATAAGATGGTGGGAATGTAATATTTTTATGGGAATATAGTAAGTTATTTTCTATGAAACTTGTAACTTGTATTTTTTAATTTAATTTTTTTAAAAAACATTATTAGGAATACTAAAAGTTAACCAAACACTTTTTTAAATATATCCAAAAATAACATTCCAACTTATATTTTAGAGAATACAAAATCATACTTTGAAACAATTATCTCTATATATAATCATTAATTTAATCGACAATCTTAATGAAGGTGGACAAAATAGTTCTAGACAACAAAAAAGAAGTCTTTATTTTTATCGCTAAATTAAATTAGGATATGTGCTCTTAACAATGACAACTATGAAATTACAAAGTTTGAAATTAAAAACTCTTATGGAATATTACTAGAAGCATAACCATTATTTAGTTTTGACTTGTTTGCTTCAATTCAATTTTTTTTTTAATCTCCCTTTCTTTTGCAATTGTCGGTATCAATAGTTGTAATTGGTTTTACAGACGACTAAGTGTAGCTAGCTGCCAGATGGCGTAATCAGATGCAAATATAGTCTTTTATTATTTGTAATTTTTTCTCTTCTAATTTTGTATTTTATATTTTATTCTTTTCTTTTATGTTCTAAAGAAACAAATATCTATTTTGTATTTTATTGTTTTCTTTATTTTTAATCACTTTTTAAAAAAATAATATTTTCATAGAAGAAAATAAGTGTTCATAGTTATCCCTTTTTACTTAGATTTAAATCGAAAATATTAATAATAAATATTTTCATATTATCATAGTAAAATATAAGTTAAGATCCGAACTGCAATTTCGTTCCAAAAATTAGGAATAAAACCATGTTGACAAAAGACGAAATGTTGGAAAGGAATAAGCATATGAATGTCACATGAAACCGGAATCACATGAAGTTTAATTGACAAGGGCTTTGTTGCAAATTGTAAGCGTCATGAAGATATATATCAAACTTGGATGTGAGCGTGACATGATTCTTAACTTGGATCCAGGTACGGAACTTTTAAATTTTAGACTAAATTTTTTTACAATTTTTGAAAGATCACAACTCATAATTCTAAAAGCACCATTGAAAAAGGTATTTCACCCAAGTCGCGATCCCTTTGAACAATTTGATTTTGTTTAAAAAGTTAAAGTTATTAGAAAAGAGATGTCCCAAGTTGTCGTGTCTTAAATTATTATGAATAAAAAGATGTCACGTCACTTAATACTTTATTTATTGAGATGATTTATAAAAGAGTATAATAGGGCATGAGGAGGATTCAAACTTTAGCTGAAAGATAAAGTAATGACTTAAAAAAAACTAAAGTTCGAGCAAGAACAACCACTCAAAAAGTTGTTGGTGCAGAAATCCAAAATGAAAATAGAAAATGGGCATAGAGACCCAGTGTGTAAAAGAGAGTGGACGCAAGAACCCCAAGTTAAAAAAAAAAGTAGACATGGAGACTTGAATTGTAAGAAATAGTTTTAGGGACCTAAGTTGTAAACAAAGTAGACGCGAGGACCAGAATTGTAAAAGAGTGAGTACATAGATCCAAGATGTAAAAAAGATTGCGTGTAGCGACCGATATGAATTGATGCTACAGTGATGATAGATGAGAATTGGATAAGAGAATGAATAGAACGCTGAAAAATACATCAGAACTTCATTCAGAAAATTGATGAAAGATTATATAGTTATACCTTAAATAAATGAGGCTAGAAATTAATTAACAATTTGTAATAACCTAATAGCTGACCAAAAACAAAAACTAACTAAAAATACATATTTACAGCAAAGAGATAGCTGTATAATTGTATAATCCAATAATATGTGAAAAAGAGTGGGTGTTAAAATGTAAAACACAGTGGATGCATGAATCCATGATGTAAAATGCAATGGCTACGATGATCCAAAATGTAAAATGTAGCATGCGCAAGGACCTTAAAAATGTAAAATGGAATGTGTGCAAGAATTCAAAATGTAACATGCAGTGGGGGCAAAAACCCAAAATGAAGTGGACATGGAAACCTTGAATGTAAAATATATCAGACTTAGAGATGTAAGATGTAGTGACTGCAAAACCAATTATGTAAAATGCAATGGATGCAGGAACTCAAAATGTAAAATGGAACGAAAGCGAGAATCTAATATAGTGGATGTAGGAACCTAGAATACAAAATGTGGTGGAGGTGGGGACTAAAAAGAAAATTTTAGTGGGCATAAGGACCCAAAATATAAAATGCGGTATACTTGGTGACCCATAATGTAAAATGTAATGGATGCAAAGTTTCAAAATACAAAATATAATGGACATGCGAACCCAAAATGTGAAATATAGTGGGCATGAATACCCTAAATGCAAAATCAATGAGTACAAGATCCAAAATGTAAAATGCAATTGACATGAAAACTCATAATTTAACATGCAATGAGCTTCAGAATCCAAAATTAAAGTAAGCATGAAGTTAAAAAACAAATAGTCGTGGAGTTTGAAAAACTATGGACATTGAGCACAACACAATAATCAAGAGTCCTAGAGTACGCACTAGAAAAAATCAGCAAAAAATAACAAAACAAATAAATGATAGAAAATATTTACAAAGAGACAGATATTTTTAACGTGAGAAAACTTTTAATGTGAAAAGTAAAAATTCACGGGCACAAGCCAGTCAAATAAGGGTACAAGAGAGTCTAATCAAATGCATAAACAAATGCTTACAGTCAGCCAATACATTAAAGCAATTGAAGAATAAAGAAGAAGAAATTTCAAATTAGAGCAATTGTACGAAATTGATTTCTCCAACCATAGACCTCCAATCCACGATCCCAAAGATCAAAATGAAGATCACCGTGTTAAGAACCTGCCATCAAATTTCCAGCCCGATCCAACAGTAAACGAAGTGAGGATCGCAATTTTACTAAAATTGCTCTGTGTATGCGAACCAAATTTTCTACTCTTTCTCCCTTCTTTTTCTCCATGAGACTGTGTAATTTTCTCTCTCTCTTCTTTCTCTCATTGACGGCTGTATAATTTTCTTCTCTCTTATTTCTTAAGAAACCCTCTCTACTTGATTTTTAAGTGAGACAAAATTTAAATTTCTCAATTTTTAGGTCTTTTCTCCATATAAAAAAAAGTCCAATACCCAACAAAAGGAAAATGAGCACAAAAGTTAAAAAAACAAGGCATAGAGCCTGAAAAGTTGTGGGTTTGGAGCCCTAAAAGGAAATGTGCACAAAACTCATAAACAAATATGAACAGAGCCTGAAAATATGCTAAAACAAAAATCTAAAATAAAATGAGCACGAAGTTGAAAAATAAATAAGCGGAGAACCTAAAAGATTGTGGGTATGGAGTCCTAAGAAAATGAGCAAGGAACTCGAAAATAACTAGACATAGAGCCTGAAAGACTGTGAGTATGGAACCCAAAAGTAAAATGAGAATAGAGTTAAAAAGTAATTGTTTGTTGTTTTTTTTTATAAGACCAATCAATATTATTTTATGTACTATCAATTATTTTTATATAAAATTATATGTAATTATAATATGTTCTCTTAGTACAGATAAAAAAAATCTCTTAATTTGATAAAAAAGATTAATTATAAATTCTTTAAATGATATCTACTCTAATTTATTAGGAGATAAATATTAATTAGGAGAGATAATCTAAATGTATTAGGATACCAACATTGTTGAAATGTTATTTTCTTATAGTGATCTTTAACACACTAAGATTTTATTTAAAAAAATTAGAAGAAAAAATAGTATAAAAATAATATATATAAACCAAATTTATTGTTATCAATTAAAATATTTATTTCTCTTGATGGTAATGAATTAAATAATTAAGTTTTTGAGTAAAAAATAATATTTTATTATTAGTGGAAGGCAAGTGACTTGTGGCCTACCTGCATTAATTAGAGTTATTGGTTAGCTATATCTTTCCTAGCATGGAACAGGTAGGAAAGATATAGCCAACCAATAACTCTAATTAATGACTTGCATTGTTGCTACAAGGAGTGGAAAGACTAGGAAAAGTGTACGAGGCCATGTTCACCATAATAAATTACAAAAAAAAATAAATAAAAAACTATTTATCAAATTAAATAATTTTGGCTATGTTAGAATTGGAGGAAAGAAGAAAACGTCAATGAAAGAGACGATTTCTAGAAAACGTGAAACGGTAGAACATGTAGAAGAGAGAAAGGCAACAGAAAATAACAGAAAACGTCAAGTCGTCAACATGATTGATGTTTTCTATACAAAAACATTTGAATGAAAAACATCACCTATAGTGACGTTTTATACACATACTGCATAAACTAAAAATGTCACTAAGGCTGACATCTAGTATGTAGTGGTAAACATCAACCTGGTTAACATTTTTCCAGATCTGTCCCTTCTAAATACTTAAAAAAAATCTAAACTTCTATAAATTTTAATTATCAACAATAATATTTCACATAAACAAATCTATAACATAAAAATAAAAAAATGCAAACAAAAAAAATTATTATTATTTTAGACATTTTTTTTTTTTTATTTGTTATGGTGAAAAAGTCATACTTGTCCTTCTACTTCCATGTTGATTGAGATGTATGAGTTTTTGAAATTTTTCTATGCATTTTGAAAATGGATTATTCTTTTTTATTTCGCTCGTCTTAACTTTTTTTTTTGTTCGTCCCTGGAGTATTCACCGCCGATAGTAGTGACTAATCTCTTCGCTCGTCTTAACTTGATTTCATGCCTTATATTTGTTTAAAAAACAAATAATATATAGTTAGTTCAATCGTGATGCACCGATCTTGTAAAGTAATTTTACAGATATATCTAATCACAAATTATTATAGATGATAAATTTATTTACTTTTATGATAATTAGCTTAAAAGTTAAATAAAACTATGGTTTTTAATTAATTAATGGTATAAAATATTTTACATCGATAGTTCATCACTTTTAAATTTATATTTTTTCACCGTAACAAATTAAAAAAAATGTCTAAAATAAATTAATAAAAAAAATGTCAGCCTTAGTGACGTTTTTAGTTTATGCAGTATATACACAAAACGTCATTATGAGTGACGTTTTTCATTCAAATGTTTTTGTACAGTAAGCATCAACCATGCTGATGTTTTCTGTTATTTACTGTTCCACGTTTTCTAGAAATCGTGCCCTTCATTGACGCTTTCTTCTTTCCTCTAATTTCAACATGGCCAAAATTATTTAATTTGATAAATAATTTTTTTATTAATTTATTTTTGTAATTTTTTTAATTTATTATGGTCGATCAGCCTTCAAGTGACACATGACTTGTTGCAAATTAAGTTCAGAGGAAAGGTATCGATATCTTTCAACTTTCAAGCTTTTTTTTTTTTTTTTTTTTTTACAGAATATTCTTTTTAGCTAATATTTTCTTTTTAACAGTTTTAATTATTAGTTTAAATTTATTAAAAATTATATATTTTGTAGAGTTACATCTCATTTAACAAATTGATTTTTTAATTTTATGATAGAACATAGTAAAACTTATGATTTTTAGTTAATAAGGGAGAAAATATTAATAAGAAAACGTTAGAAGGAACGTAGCTGAGTGATGGTAATATAAGGCTTGGCCTTGAGGTGCTAGTGTAAATGCTGCAGTACGTCGGTGCATGCTTGGCCTTAGGTGGTAGTGTAAGGTTGGAGATGAATGAGGATAAGCAACAATAAACACTATAAAAAATATATATATATATATATATTATAATAACATAATTTATAATGACATAATATTTATTATTAAAAATTATTTTTATCTATATTATAATATATTATTAAAAAAATGTAAATATAATATCACATAATATATATTAAATTTTATTCAAAATTAACGTAAAATTACGTGTAATTAAATATAAAATAAATTTATACTTACATTGTTTATACATATAATGATATTCTTTACATGGTAATATTTCTTATAGTGGATATATATAATTATATTTTTTTTTCTTGGAAACATGTTCAAATTATACATTTCATTTTAAAATATATTCTCTTATCCGTAATTCAACGATGATGATATGTTACATTTAGTCGATTTTAATCTAATTTCTACATTTTAAAACTTAAAAGTGCTTAGATTTGTGTTACCAAAACAATGTTAGAATGTAATGTGTTGTTTTGTATTCGCCGTGAAATTGAGACTGATTTTCTCCGGTCTTACTACCAGCACCCCTAAACACGCTAGAAACAAATGATTTGATACTCGTCTCTCTTTAGAACGGCTTTCAACTACTTAGTGCATGTTTAGATTAGCTTTTGAAACATGATTCTACATTCTCTTTCCACATTAGATATCAATTTTACGCAAACGTGAAAATTCACGTTAGAGTTAAAAACCAAACATGCACGTAATTATAACTCTCTATTTTCACTGGTAAACTTTTAAAAAGCTTCTAAATTTGTGTCCCAGTAGACTATACAATTAGGTAAGTTAATTTATAAGGTTATTTGGCATCTAAAAGTAGTTGAATTGGTCATGTGTTAAACGTTTAAGTGATTACTAGAAAAGTTGGTAGAAAATTTAATGTTTTTATAAGGTTACATTAAACCCCAAATATCAAACATTTGAGATTTGCCAACTTCTCCTTTTTGCAAAAGAATTGAACTTTTCCCATCGAAGGTCTATAACTGTTTTTGTTCAGATGCCAGAAGAACATTCTTACAATTCATCATTGGATGTTCCTTTACTACCAGAGTGGAAGCACCATGAGCAAGGGCATGGCATAGCCTCTCATCATTCTTCCAAAAATACTGTTTCCTCCTTTCGCACCTGCCTTAATGGACTCAATGCAATATCAGGTTTCATTATCTACAAAACATGCCCTTCTCTTATTCAAAGAAAAATCTATCTTTAATTCAGCTTATTTTAAAGAAATAAGTTTTTTTATTACCTCAATCTCAAGATGCTGTGCTCTTAATCTTAAAACAAAATCCTATAACATGCCAATGTTTTGTGTGTTTTGGTTTAATTTTCTCCAGGTATTGGGATACTCTCAGTTCCATATGCTCTTGCGTCTGGAGGGTGGTTAAGCTTGGTTCTTCTGTTTGCTATTGCCACTGCAGCATTTTACACAGGCATGTTGATCAAAAAGTGCATGGATAAGAATTTCAACATTAGAAGCTACCCTGATATAGGTGAGGTTGCATTTGGAAAGATAGGAAGGTTAGTAGTTTCGGTGTCCATGTACACTGAGCTATACTTGGTTTCAACAGGGTTCTTGATTCTAGAAGGTGATAACTTGAGTAATTTATTCCCAATTGAGGAGTTTCAGATAGGTGGCTTGGCAATTAGTGGGAAGCAATTCTTTGTGATATTGGTTGCACTTATCGTCTTGCCAACAGTTTGGTTGGATAACTTGAGCCTACTTTCTTATGTTTCTGCAAGTGGAGTTTTTGCTTCTGCTATCATTATTCTCTCAATATTATGGACTGCAACATTTGATGGAGTTGGTTTTCATCAAAAGGGAACTCTTTTTAATTGGAATGGAATCCCCACAGCTGTTAGCTTGTATGCCTTTTGTTACTGTGCACATCCAGTCTTCCCCACTTTGTACAATTCCATGGCAAACAAACACCACTTCTCTAATGTAAGAGCTTTTATATATTATTTTGGATTGAATTTAATTAAATCGTCTAAAATAACAAAGTGCATACACTTAACTTTAGTTTGAATTAAAGTGGTTAGTTAGTAAGAGTGGATGTACCTTATCTTTAATTTGTCTCTTATGAAAAATAAAATTCATAATCAAGTCTTAAGAGTGGATGTAATTAAGTACCCTGGTATAGGTGTCCTTTGATACTTCATAAACTAAATACATGACTTTCTTTGGCTCTAATAATTTCTTCTTTTAACATTGCAGGTCCTATTTGTATGCTTTGTGTTGAGCACAATTGGTTATGCATCGATGGCTATAATTGGTTACCTGATGTTTGGCCCACAAATTGAATCACAAGTGACATTAAACCTGCCACTGAACAAAGTAAGCTCAAAATTGGCAATATATACTACATTGGTGAATCCTATAGCCAAGTTTGGTTTGATGGTGACACCTATTACCAATGCTTTGAAGGATTTGGTTCCAAGAGCTTACATGAATAGAGGAATGAGTATCTTAGTTAGCAGTTTCTTGGTAATAAGCACTACTATTGTTGCCCTCAGTGTTCCTTTTTTTGGGGGTCTCATGTCCCTAGTTGGAGCGTTTCTCAGTGTCACAGCTTCTATTCTGCTTCCATGTTTGTGTTACTTGAAGATTTCAGGCACTTACAAGAAAATAGGGTGTGAAACTGTTGCCATAGTGGTAATAGTGTTAGCAGCTGTAGTAATGGGAATATCTGGGACGTACACCTCTGTAATGGAAATACTCCACAGATTGTAATATCTAATAAGCATTGCAATCAATAAATAATAAAGGAAATGGTAATTAAGAAAGTTGTTTTTTCTTCGAAACCACATGAAGGTTGATTTCTCTTGAATCAAATTACCAGAGTTATATTTCGTACAATTGTGTGTATTTTGTTTCGTACCGAATAGCATGTCTCGTAAAGAAAGTGGTGTATGTGATAATGAGAAATGAACAGTGATATGAAAATAAATAAATTTAATATTCATTTGATCAGTGTTATAAATTTTATCTTTTATTCTATACATATGAGTTTTGTTTCTTTAATTTCTGTCATCTATTTAATATAGAGAGTACGTGAAAAAAAAAATACTAAAATATTAAGTTTATAAAAACAAAAAAAGACTAGAAAAACAAAAAAAAATGATATATATATATATATTAAAACAGAATATTTTTAATTGTAAAGATTAAAAAGTAAAATTTATAAAATTATAGGATAAAAATTGAAAAAATATGTTAATAATTACTCTCAATCAAATTTGTTTAATAAATAATATTATCCATAAAAATCATAAAAGTTAAAATTTAAAATAGTATATAATTATAACTAATCGATTCAAATTAGTACGTGTATCATACATAACTTCTGGTCATGCATCTAAAAAGAAATATATGAAATTAAAACACTTTATTTTTTTATTTTCTTCTTATTAATTAATCTATAAGTTAATTTTGATTAACAAAATTATTATAAATTATTAATTTATTTAATTTTTTTTTTGTGTGTTTATATGCAAGTATAGTTCGATTATTATTATTTATTTACAAGTTCAATAGATTAAAAAAGTTGGATTTTTATGTTAAGATTAAGATTTAATAATAAAAAATTATAACAGAAGTAGTGTTAGAAATAGTGATAGTGAAAATAGTGAGAGTAATAATAACAACTAAATAAGTTTTTTAATCTAAGTTTTATAAGAATTTAGATTATTGAGACCTCTCCTAGCGATAGAGAAAGAAAAACTAGATCAAAGAATAGTAGGGCGAGGACATGGAGAACACCACCACTTTTTTGACTTTTCAACTTTACTTCACTTTTTGCCATTGCCAATACGCGTTGAAATCGATCATGAGTTGTTCTCTCTAGGAATTGGTGGTCCAAATCATGGGTCAATTTATGTGATGGCCCATTGAACGCAACAAGAAGATAACGACAATACAATAGCCAGCTATAAATCTTCTTAGGACCCCAGGGTCATTCTCAAAATATATGTTAAGAATATTTATATTTATAGTTTTTGTTTCAACTTTGATTCGTTTTAATACATGAAAACTACATATTCTCTGACATTTTTTTAATATATTCTCTAATATTAGTTTATTAAAAAATACAAAATTATAAAGAAGATTTATTAAATAAAATGTAAAACTCACGAATTTTATATTTTATAATAAATTTTAATTAATAATAGAGAATGAATATATTAGAGAGTGTATTGTTAATGTTTTTTTATAAAATTTAATAAATATTATATTTTTAAAATTTGAAATGCTACTTAACACAATTCTTAATACTTTTAAAATGATTTAATAATTTTTTTAGAAAAAGGATAATATTTTTAAAAATGAAAGTGTTGGTTTACACAATGATGGTAGTGAAACATTTGACTGTTGAATTTATTTACCTCTTATCTTTTAAAAATGCCTTATAAGCATTGTTTTGTCCAGAATCTATCTTTGGCTTATAATATAAACATCTTTTTTTTTAAAAAAAAAAATATTTTTTAAAATTTTATTTTTCGTTTATACCTTTTTTCATCTTTTTTCTTCATATTCATCTTTTTAGTCATTCTTTCTTGATTTTATTATTTATTAGTTTTGATTTTTAATTTTTCTTATATGACAATTAAGATAATTATATCTTATTTTTATATTTTTAAATTTTATTTTTTACTTTTAACTTTATGGTTCTTTAAATTTTAATTTTTCATTCAATTTTTATTGTTTCATACATTTAATACAAGATATGAATTAATATGTTAAATTATATATATTTTTTAATTTATTTAATATTACTTATACATAATAATAAAAAATAGCTGATTGAATTTTTGTGCAAGTTACATGAGTTGACAACGCATAGAATAGACAATAGAAGACAAAGGTATCTCGTTGAATTTAAATTTTTTTCATTTTTCTGGAAATTGTTTTTTGAAAGTTTGTTTTTAGTGTTCATAAAATATTTTATGGAAGTGTATTTTTACAAAATTCTGGAAAATTATTTTTATAAATTAGTATTTTAAAGATTATTTTTTAAAAGTATGTAAAAAAAACACAATTTTTTAAAATATTTTTTGAATTACTAATTTTACTATTCCAAAAATTACATTTGAAACACTAAAATTAATGTTCAAAAAATTCTTTTTTTAAACTAAATTTAATTTTATGCTTTTTGAAAGTGTAAAAGGAGAAAACGTGCTTGAAAAAAAAAACGTATCTGCTTAACACTTTCAAAACTATTGAGAAGTCATACATGATTACAATATTGTGACGCACTAATTCTACAGCTCGAGTACACATGAAAACTTAAAGGGGAGGGGGGGGGAGTAATTGTGTTAAAAGTAAAATTGAAAGCAAAGGGGAAATAGGGTACTGTGAAAATTGAAAAAATTAAAATTACCTACTAAACTATGTGAGGTGGGAGGAAAGTAAGATGATATATGTGAAAATTGAAAGGAGGAAGACAAGGAGATGTGTAGAAAAGAAGGAAATTAAATTGAACATTGGAAGTATAAAATAAAATAAAAATAGAAAATAAAAAAAAATGTTTTACGAATTTATTTTTTATAAAGCGAAAAGGAGATGTTCTTATAAATAAAAAAGACTTAAATATAAATTTTATCTCTATAATTTACCGTTTTTTCACTTTTGGTCCTTGTAAATTTTTTTTGGTGTTACTTCATGCCTCTGTCCTTTTATAATGTTTCATAATTAATTTTGGTGTCAACTACTGTTATAAGAAATCCTACATGATAAAAAAATACATACTATATTCATTATATTCTATTTCATTATTGTTACTTAGGTAAATTAATTTTAATTTAAAAAATAAAATTTAACAATGCACTTTATTGCACTTAAACCCTCACTTCTATGGTTCTGCTTCCCCTCTCTAATCCAAATCCAACATTATAAATCTTAAACCTCTAAATACAAACTTGAATTTCTCAACGAGAAGCAACTTCTCACAATTTGCGATCTTAACAACGATATCGAATTCGTCCTCAATGACCATTATCTCTACAAGGTCACCATCACCTACCACTTCACCATAATAGAGTTTGACCTCAAGTTTAGTTATTTCCTAGTTGTGTAAGAGCTCATTTGCAACAAGAGCATCCAGCACTCTACTAGAGCCACCACCAATGCCTTCTCCTCCAAGGTTAGAAGAACTATGTTAGTTGACTCAAGACCATCAAGATTGCTACCACCTATTGTGGTCGTTGCAATAATGACGAGTGAGACACCTCATTGGAGAAGGGAGTTAGTAGTCTAGCTCCGTCATTGATGACAACTTAGACGTGATGTTCCTCCATTTAAAGAAGGTGCTTGTGAAGAGTATGACGAAGTAAAAATAATGAAATATGTTTTAAAATTTTGTCTAAAAAAATTAAAATCAATTTACCTGTATAATAATGGTAAAGTAAAATACAATTCATGTAAGATTTTTTTTTAATAAAAACTGATAACAGAAACTATTTTTAAAATATTATAAAAGGTTAGGGATGAAAAAAAAAACTTATTATAGAGACTAAAATGAGAAGAAAAAAAAAAGTAATAAATTACACAGACAACAAAATATATTTGGTGTATATGAGTCATCTTTCTTTCGTTTTTCTTGTTTCATGATGGATCACGGACTCCTCAGTTGGACCAAACCCCTTCCCTACTTCATGATCAAATTAGAAACGGGCTTAGTCCAATTACCTATTCCAAAACCATATTGTTTAATGGTGGGCCTGCATTTGTCTTTCTTTAAAGTCTGTGTTCTTTTTCCTCCCTCTCAAGTCTGCAAGGAATTGATCCAAACTCAAATAATATTATACATATATCATCTACTATACAATTTTATTTTAGATATAGAACCATTATAAACTGAGTATTCCTAATAATTTATGATCGAGTATAAAAAAAAAACTCAAAAATTAAATTTTAATTAACCACTATCATAACTTAGTGATGTTATTTAACTCAATAAAAGCAAAAACTAAAATAAAATAATAGTTTATTTAACCCTTGTTGATGGATATTAAGGGCTATTTAGTTTGAAAATCAGTTTCATTTTCTATTGTTTTAATTACAAAAATGTCATTCTAATATTTAAAATTTGTTTAAAATATGGTGAAAAAAAGTCATTTTTATTATTTTTTATTTTCATTTTCCCAGTTAATAAATTCTTATATAAATTTTTTTAAAATCGAATGCAAAATGTAAATAGAAAATAAAAACTGGAAATGTTTCCGCTAACCTAATAGAGCATGATTTATCTTGTTTCAGAAATTAGATTAAATTGTTTTGTTTTATAATTTTATTACATAATTCCGAAGTACATTTAAGTTTTTTGCTTAGCTAAAAAGAATGAATAGTCTAGTGATAGTGAATACAAAAATAGGAAGGAGGAATGATACAACATGAGAAACAAGATTAAAGTTACTAATTATCAAGAAAGCACCATCTCAAAACTAAGCTCTATAATATTACTAGTACTCATGTACAAAGTCATCCTACCCCATTATACATCACTTGAACTATACTTATGCTTCTATCATTTCTCGAATAGGGGTTCTATCTATCTTAAGTGAAGAAATATCAGTGAACTCTGATAAGATAGCTCTGAATTCATCTCCACTAAGGGTCTCCTTCTCAAGTAGCACATCCACTAATTTATCAATTGCATCACGGTTATTCCTTATGTGATTCTTTGCAATTTCATATGCTGCCTCTATTATCTGCCTCACTGAGTTATCAATGTCCTCAGCCAGTTTCTCTGACATCGAGTTCCTAGCCAGCATCCTTAGCACCACATCACTACTTTGCACTGCAGGATCAGTCAATGCCCATGGTCCAATCTCTGACATGCCAAACACTGTCACCATCTGTTGCAAAAATTATAACAATCTTTTAGCATGATGTAATTTCTAAATGGGAAATGATACTTGTACGACATTTTCTTTCTTTGGTGTTTGTCTCTCTTTATCATATCATTTATCACATTTATTAATAATGGAGATAAAAAATATTATTCAAAATTTCCTTTTTCATCCCACAAAAGAAACCTATGTTGTTGAGGATTAGAGTCGTTAATACTAACCTGTCTTGCTATTTGTGTAATTTGTTGCAAGTCCCCAGCAGCTCCAGTGGTTATCTCAGTTTCACCAAATATGAGTTCCTCTGCTGCTCTTCCCCCTAAGCCTCCAACTATTCTAGCAAATAGTTGGTTCTTAGAGATGAGAGATGGATCGTCACCTGGTATGAACCATGTTAAGCCTCTGGCTTGGCCTCTAGGAACTAGAGTGACTTTCTGTACTGGATCATGCCCTGGAGTCAGTGTCCTGCAAAGTGCAAACATTATTAACTTACACTTCAAAGACAACAAATTCAAATACCAACAAATCGAAAGTCCAAATAGTACTGGATTAATCCTTTTTAATCAAGGTCTTGGATTCAAATCTTATGAATAGAAAAAAAGAAAAACATAATTGGAAGAAAAGATCTTACTAAAAGTTATCAATCAGGTTTTACGATAAAGACTAATAATCTAGAAAAAATTCAAGTGTTGAACAATATAAAGCAGTTAAAGGTTTCCTTCTCCAAACTCAAAAGTGTTCTACAGGCCTTTGGTCTGTTTTCAATTTCTGTTTTTGTAAAATGCTACAAGTATGTTACTTGTTTACATTATTTTGTTTACATTTTCTCAAACATGCTGGCCTAAATTTTTCCTATGAACATGAATAAGTATTTAATGTACTTACGCACAAACAGCATGTCCAATTTCATGGTAAGCCACCAGAATTTTGCTCTTGCCATCAGTCATCTTGGTTCCATCCATGCCTGCCACAATGCGATCTATGGAGTCATCAACTTCTTTCATTGTGATCTTGTCTTTGCCCCTTCGACTGGCAAGAATGGCAGCTTCATTCATGAGGTTTGCTAGGTCTGCACCACTGAATCCTGGAGTTCTCATGGCAATGACACTAAGAGAGACGTCATTGTGAAGCTTCTTGTTGTCACTATGAACTTTCAGTATGTCTTCCCTCCCTTTTATATCTGGTAATCCAACACTGACCTATTGGCACAATCAAAAAACAATTCATCTGTTTTTTCACACTTCATCAACTTCAATTAGTAAGCTTTTCATGTATTGGATGTCTATTTTTAAATTAAGTTCAAATAAAAATATATGTAAGCAAGTATCACCATTACTAAAAATCTTAGAAATGAATAAAGTGTAATAATATATATGTTTTCATTATTGCATGATTTGACATCAGTGAATGGTCTATCAGGCTTAACAAATAACCATTAAAATAGACTCTTATCCATCTTAAAATATGGGTGGAGTTTAATACAATCCTACAAGTTAAGTCATGAAACAAAAATTGTCTTTTATTTATACTTTTATTTAAATACTTTATTTTGGTCATACTATCAAATAATGTGGGATCTCCAACTCCAATAATAACAAAGAATATTGAAAAAGGAGCTAGTAGCTTACCTGCCTATCAAACCTCCCGGGTCTAAGCAATGCTGCATCGAGAATTTCAGGTCTGTTAGTGGCAGCAATGACTATAACCCCAGTGTTTTCAGTAAAACCATCCATTTCAGTGAGCAACTGATTCAGTGTTTGCTCCCTTTCATCATTTCCTCCACCTATACCTGTACCTCTCTGCCTCCCTACAGCATCTATCTCATCAATGAATATCAAACAAGGTGAGTTTTGTTTGGCCTTGTTAAACAAATCCCTCACCCTTGAGGCCCCTACACCCACAAACATCTCAATGAACTCTGATCCAGATAGAGAGAAGAAAGGAACGCCAGCCTCTCCAGCAATTGCCTTGGCCAGCAATGTCTTTCCAGTCCCTGGTGGCCCTACCAAAAGAACCCCTTTGGGGATTTTTGCTCCAACAGCAGAAAACTTCTCTGGTGTCTTCAAGAACTCAACAATCTCTTGGAAGTCTTGCTTGGCTTCATCAACTCCAGCTACATCCTCAAATGTAACTCCTGTGTTTGGTTCCATCTGAAACTTTGCCTTGCTCCTAAAGTTAATCATGATTTAAGGAAATAATGTCAAGGAAGTTGCTCAATATAATTATAAACTAGTTTATATCCATGGAAGTGTCATATACTCAACAAATTTTCAGTGATCTAGGAGCATGTACTCCATCTATCCAAATCATGATACTAGGCATGAAATATCAACCTTTTAGTTGCTTGTTATTGACTTATTGTGACTGTGAGTATTATCCACTGAACAAACACTTAATAAATAAATTATTTATGAGCTGCATTGTAAGCAATAAGCACTCATTTTTTATCAAATCATTTTTTTTAGAAGAATCAGTTACTGGTTATAGGAAACAATCCGGTTCTTGAATAGGTTAAATATACAACCGGTTCAAAACCAGTTTGCAGAATCAGAACCGGTTCACTGAAATCCAAGGAAGCCAGTTCAGTTCTCGCAAATTATAACAAGATTAATTTGGCTCTTTGGGTTGAGCCAAACCATGAACAACCATACTTAGCAATTAACATGAGTTTAATGATCATGTAATAATAATTTTATCCCGTTAACTAATTTAAAATCACCAATGGTAAGACTTCTAAGATATTAATTGTAAAAATTAACAAGTTTACCATACATACTAATTAATAATAATTAAATTATAATGTAAAATTATTTTATATTGATAGTGCATGATCTATTTTATTTTAGCATACATGTTTATATTGTCTTTTTCTATTTTAAAACGTTTTTAGATAAAAATTAGAAGAAGAAAAAAATTAAGAATACTAAATGTCTACCTAGTAAAAATTTGCAAGTTGGTACATATACTCATTGCTAAAAATTCGTACCTTCCTAGCCCAAAGGGCAAATTGGGGCCACCAGCAGGATTATTAGTTGATGTCCGCAAGAGTAGAGAACCAAGCAAAATCAAAGGAAGGGCCAAATTTCCCAACAAATCAAGTACTGCAGGCCACCAACTAATTTCCATGGGATGAGCAGCAAAGTCAACATTTTTATCCTTCATTTTCCTGATCAACTCCTGAGGCAACCCAGGTAACTGAATTTTGACCCTTTGGATTTTTTCCAAGGTTGGATTGAATATCTCTGCAATAGCAACTGTTCCATTCTCAAAGAGGTCCACCTTCTTGACAGCACCTTCTTCCAAGTACTGCAAGAACCTTGAGTATGACATTCTGCTTGAAGTGGAAGCACCTGGGCTCTCTGGCTCAGCCATTGTGGGCTGAGCAACAGAAAGCCCAGCCAATGCTGGGCCCAGCCCAATAACAGCAGATGAAAAAAGCTTCCTCTTGCTGACTTTGTTATCTAACATAGAAGATTGTTGCCATGGTTTCTCTCTTTTGTTGTCCTTGGAAGAGTCTTGAGGCTTGTGGATCAAGGTGGGGGAGACTGAGAAACATAGGGCAGCAGACATTTTTTTAATTGCAAAACGGGTCACCTATTTTGTTATTTCAAATTGAGTATTTAGAGATGAAGTGTTACTACTACAAGGGTATGATGGTGTTGCACCTTTTCTCTAGTGTGCATGCAAGAATTGATTTGGAGGGAGTTTGCTTAAAAAAGGAGAGAGAAATGGGAACCTTCTGGTACCTTAATTTGGAATTTTCTGAGTAAAGTTTTTGTTCTCTTGTCCTAATTTTTCATTCACGAAGGGTCTACTATGTTCATGTATCTTTCACTCTTGTTTAGAAGAGGAAAAAATTCTTTTAATTTCCTTTTTCTTTTTTATCTTTCATTTCTTCTATTTTCTAAGCTTTTGGAGAAAAAAAATGAAAATGAGAAGGATATCATTTACTTTTTATTAAAAAAAAAGTTTAGTCATAGAGAAAATAACAAAAAAGGAAAAGAAGAGGATTTATTTTTCATTTAGAAGTGCCAAGATCGATGGATATGGTTGTTCCAGGCAAAGAGCGAACAACTGTAGAAGATATCAACTATATTTCCCGGTGATCATATATGACAGCCACACACTTGGAAGAATTTGAAGTGGGTGTGTGGATTGATTGGACTTGTTAAACACCAAAATTTTGGGTGGTGAATCCTAGGTTCAAATGTTGCCACCTAATAAAATTGTGTTCTTGTTATGCGCCACCTTATGCTGAAAGGTGTTAAAATCAGGGGATATGATTTGACATGGCTTCTTCCAGAGACTGAACGAAGCTCACAAATTTTGTTGGGTTGCTTCCAATTTTTTCACTTGCAATTAACTGGAGGTGCTCGGCTTGAGTATGGAAAAGATTTTATATTTTCATTTAAAACAATTTCCTTATAAACATGTACTTGTTTTTGGGTGTATAGTTTTTTATGTTTAGAAATTAAAATACTTTATCACTTTTTAATATACTTTTCATTATTTGGTAAAATTTATGCATGCCTATTAAAAAAAACTCCATCTACTTTTATTTATTTATTTGTGAAACTCGCCGAAGAGTTGTTAAATAAAAAAACGTTATCGCTAATATTTCTTCCAAAATTAATAGAAAAAAATTATTCCTCGAATTAACATACATGTACTGATGTACATGATTATTTAACATAAATGAAACTTAAATTTTTATTGATTATATTTTAAAGTTTAATCTTTCATTAATTCATTTATATTTTTATTTCCCTTACACCAGCTACTGCGAGATTACGTAGTAATTATTTTACCCAAAAAATAGATTTTTTAATACGATATTTTACAATAATATATATTTTATTTCATATTCAACAATTAGAATATATTACCCTCACTTTCCTGAATAAGACTTTTTTTTCTCCAAACAAATATTTTATTGCTTAATAGTTGGTTAATTATGTTCAAGTTTCCATTAGGTAGACTATTAACATAACTATATCAACGAAAATATTTTCAGGATATTACCTTCTACGTTAAAGTTGGATATGAATTTATTATTATTGTTTCTTTTTTAATTTGTTTTCCTGCTTGGGAAGCAAATTCTAGATACTGCTCTAGTCATTAATAAGTTAGTATAGACATGACTAAAACATCCTCAAATGAATGAATGATTTTGAAGATTAATTTTAAAAAAGCATATGATTTTATAATTTGGGAGGGGTTGAATTATATATATATACTACTCACATCGGGTGTTGAAGCCCAACTCGACACCTGGTCACTCATCAACATCGGCCAAACGGCAAGCTCATGATCTATTGGGCCACAGCCCAACCCTATTCTCACTTTAGAGTAAAAACTCTAATTCACACTAAGGTACGCGCATATATATATATATATATATATATATATATATATATATATATATAAGACTCACACGCCTACAAAAACTAATTTAAGCATTGGAGTCTCTTTTGCAGGTACTGACCCGATCTCAGAATGACCGACGTGCCAAGCAAGGAAGACTCACCAATCTCATCCGAAAGGTCATCCCCAGACCGATCTCAGGTAAGAACATCTTGGCAGCCACCGTGGGGCCGAAGAGAAATTCCCTTTCTTCATCTACCTTATGGTTTCTACCCGAAGCCACAACAAGAGAGTAACAAACGACGCAAATCAGAACAGGCCAAACATGGAAGGAGAAGCCACACTCTGGCGATTGATCGAGCAGATCGAACAAATGTGACAATAGAACACTGGGGCCCTCGAAGCTATGCGCGCCCAACATCAAGCTGACCTGGTGGCCTTGAGTGTGGAGAACGAGCGCATTCGCGCCCAACTCCCCTCGATCCTCCCCACGAACCTACTCACCAAAGCAACCACCACGAGGAAGAACAACAGTCGCCCTCACTACCGCCGATGACACATCAGTCACAGGCACCCACACATCGCTCAGGCCATGACATTAGCCGTGCACCCACCCAAGATCCCACACGTCGGATGGGCGTCAGGTGCCACCCTTTCATAGATGGCATCATGAAGACACCCCTACCTCTAGGTCGGAAGCCCCTAAACATTGATCGGTACGACAACTCTATCGACTCGGACAAGCACGTTGACGCGTACGTCACACAAATGAATCTATATACCAATGACGACGCCATCATGTGCCGAGTTTTCCCAACCTCATTGAAAGGCTTACCTGGTACACTAGGCTGCCAGTAGGATCCATCGATAATTTCAAGACAATGATAAGAAAATTCACGGCTCAATACGCCACGAGCAGATCTCACCACATAACCTCTGCCGCCCTTGCCAATCTAAGGCAGAGCAAGAACGAAACATTACAGAAATTTATGGAGCACTTCGCCAATGTCTCCATCCAAATCCGAAATCTCAATCTTGAGGTTGCCCTACACTCCATGTTCATGGCATTAAAATTGGGCCCTTTTGTCGACAGCCTTTGTCGGCGACCTCCCACAGATATGGACGAGCTACGTGCATACGCCGCGGGATACATCCAGATGGAAGAGCATTCCGAATTTCGCGAGCAAATTCGCGAAAAACCACAAGGTAAGCAAGACCAGGTCAGCCAAGGCCACAAGGACAAGTTAAAGGCGACAAACGAAACTCACTTCAAAATACCTCGGCAGAATAAGGTCAGAAAATACAACTTCTACACCCCTTTGAACGCACCTCGGGTGCACATACTGGAGGATGGCAGCAATGTTGAGTTGATACCCTACCACCGCCAGGATACAGCCTTAACCATGCTGATAAAATAAAACATTATCTCTATCACAAAAACTACAGTCATACAACTAAAGAATGTTGCACGCTCAAAGATCGAATTTAAGAGCTCGTTTAAGGCAAACATCTCGGGCAACATGTTCAGAGAGCTCATCCCCACAGAGGCAACTATCACAGACAAGGTAGAGGACGTGGCCGCGGTCGAGATTCAACTTTTCAAGCCGATCAACCATCCGAATCTCTTTAGAATGCAGGCGGCACCGGACAACCTAAAACAAAGCCAGACATCGAGCCAGCGACCTTGTGGGGCGTCATAAATACAATCGCAGGAGGATTCATCGGAGGTGGAACAAGCAGCTCCGCTCGAAAAAGACACTTACATAGCATCAACAACGTCCACATTAGCACCTCGTGTCCACCACACACCTCACCCCCAATAACCTTCACGGACGACAACTACGTGGGAGACTGCCCAAATCAAGATGATCCCATGGTCATTGCAGTTGAGGTGGCCAACTGGGAAGTTTACAAGACACTGGTTGACCAAGGCAACTCGGCGGACGTTCTATATTGGCCAATATTCATAAGGTTAGACATTCCCCCCACTTTTATATAGTCACACTCGGACCCCTTAATCGGTTTTGTAGGCGAACGAGTCCACACCTGCGGCTACGTTGAGTTATTGACCACTTTCGAGGCGGCTCCCAACACCAGGCAGGTAATGGTAAAATATCTCCTCGTCGATGCAACACGTCCTACAACATCATAACAGGATGACCTACATGGAATCAACTTAGTGTCGTGGTGTCTACCCTGCACCTGACAATGAAGTTCCTGGGGAAGGAGGGGGAAGTAATCTCTGTCAAGGAAAATCAGAAAACAACACGATAATGTTACGTGAAAAGCCTCAAAGTGTCACACTCGGACCCCTTAATCGGTTTCGCAGGCGAACGAGTCCACACCTATGGCTATGTTGAGTTGTTGACCACTTTCGAGGCGGCTCCCAACACCAGGCAAGTAATGGTAAAATATCTCCTCGTCGATGCAACACATCCTACAACATCATAACAAGATGACCTACATGGAATCAGCTTAGTGTCGTGGTGTCTACCCCGCACCTGACAATGAAGTTCCTGGGGAACGAGGGGTAAGTAATCTCTGTCAAGGAAAATCAGAAAACAACACGATAATGTTACGTGAAAAGCCTCAAAGTGTCACCACTTTTACCCCCAAAGCAATGCCACCACGAGCCCCCCATAGTAGCCCACGTGATGCGAGCCGAGGTTACCGATCTCGACCCGAGGGTAGAATCTAATGATACTCGCCCAAGTCCCATCAATGACCTGATGGACTTTCAAATTGGGAAACACCCGGGCCAATGTACGAGAATCAGCAAGCAGCTCGACCTTGCACTACAAAAGTAACTCATGGACAAAATCGTCAAGAATGCCGACCTTTTTGCCTGGTTCAGTACCGACATGACATGTATAGACCCTAATCTCATTTGTCACAGGTTGGCGATCCACAAGGAGGCAAAGCTCGTGACTTAGCAGAAGAGAAAGATGGACAACGAACAATGAGATGCTGCAGCAGCTGAAACCAAGAAACTACTAGACACCGGATTCATCAGGGAAGTTAGATATACCACATGATTGGCCATAGTGGTATTGGTAAAAAAAGAGCTTGGGGAAGTGGCGTATGTGCGTCGACTACAGCGACCTCAACAAAGTTTGCCCAAAGGACCCTTACCCCCTACCAAGTATCGACAAATTGGTTGACGAGACCTCCAAACACACCATCCTCAACTTTCTCAATGCCTACTCTAGCTACAACCAAATTATGATGTACCTGCCAAATGCAAAAAAGACCACCTTCATCACCGACCAGACTAATTTTTGCTACCAAGTTATGTCTTTCGGCCTCAAAAATGCCAGAGCCACCTATCAAAGACTGATGGACAAGGTTTTTCATCAGCAGATCAGAAAAAAATATGGAGGTTTATGTAGACGACATGGTCATCAAG